ATGAGTTAACAAAACATATACATATATATTTTTATTGGTTTTTTTCTTCATATTTTTCATGAATTCTTTTAGAAATAATCAAGATTGCACAATGCAATTCAAACTACATCGCGGGTCATTCGTGCGCTCGCTGTTATGAATATTGCATTACGCAATCAATACGCCTGCGCACGCTACAGTAATACTAATTTAAATTTTTTTTATTATTTAAGAGGCAACAGTAGATACATATATAATTTCTAATGAAATGAAGACATTTTACTATTTTAAATCCAACTTCGTGTTGTTCTTTTCTACATCTACTCATTTGTTGAAATAAGTTAAATATTTATGTAGATGACGTGAATCATGGCAGATGAGTGCGGATAGAATACGATGATTTCGAGTAGAGTGACTTATTCCTAAAAACATTACTTGCACTTCAAATATTCTCGCGCAGCCTTAAAACACTGCTGACATAAGAAAATGAAACTTTTAAAATTTTTATAAATGAAAATTATAAAAAGCCTGCATAATAGGGTTGTATATTTGTAAATATTTCTCAATTTGATATTAATATTTTATTTAACTGCAATACCTAGGTTAAAAGTTACTTATTTGCCCGCATCATAATCTATTAACAATAACTGTAAGCCCACATTTTTGATTTAGTAAGCAAGAAAATCTAAAACTCTTTTCTGAATATTAAGAGAAAACGAGTTTCGGTGGTTATATTCACTATGTAGTCATTTATTTATTATTATATATTTTTTTTTACTTGACTCATCTATATTATGGGCATATGTTTATGCACATATTTCATATTGTATGTTTGCATCAACTAATTACACAAAAACTAGCCAGTTGCTATTCTGAAAATGCAAATAAAATAAACTAAAATTAAATTAAATTAAAAAATCTAATAAAATTAAAATAATATAGAATAAACTTCAATTAATATAAGTTATATTAAATAAAATAAGTTAAAAAATTCAAAAACTATTTTAAAAATCAAATAAAAAGAAATAAAAAGAATTAAAATAAAAAGTAATAAAATTAAAAAAATGAAATAAAATAAAGTAATGAAAAAAAAGAAGAAAGAAGTAATAAAGTAAAATAATTTAAAATAATTTAAAATAATTTAAAATTAAATTAAAAAATAGGAAGAGGAAAAATTAAATTATACACAAAAAAATGTAAAAAAATTAAACAAAATAAAACTAAATAATCAAGATGATTTAATTTAAAATCAAAAATAAATAAATAAAATTAAATCCAATTGAGTCAAATAGAGTAAAATAAAATAAATTAAATGGTGCAAAATAAAAGAAAAAGAATAAATAAAAAATAGAAAAAAAAGGAAAAATTCAAACAGAAAATATAGTTAAAATATTTAATTACAATAAAAAGGAAATAAAAAATATAAATAAATAAAAAATAAATAAATTAAAAGAGAAATGAAATAAAAAGCGAATAAGAAACAGAAAGATTAAATGTAAGAAAGTAAAAAAATAAGAACAAAATAAAGTAAACTAAAATAATATAAAAAATGAAATAAGTAAACTTAAGGAATAAACTAAGAATGCTTTAATCCAAATTATCATTTATACTTCATTTAAACTCTTCTTCTTTTTAGCGCAGTATTGATTTGTATTAGTAACGTTAAGATAAGTTAAACCATTTCCTTCACGTGTATTTATGTATTCTGCTTTTGGGTCGTTTACAATTTAAGAAATAACCAAGCCCCCAAAAAAACGAATGTCTTTTTGTTAGAGTCTTTCAGAGCCGCTTAAGCCATGCTTATTTTTAATTTATTTTTTTTTTTTTTTTTTTTTTTTTTTTTTTTTTTTTTTTTTTTTTTTTTTTTTTTTTTTTTTTTTTTTTTAATTCATATGCTATGCAAACGAAAATTATTTCTTGCTTAACTAATGTTTGTTGTTAAGTGCTACCTGTTTTAAACTCGTTTAAAATAACGAAGACTGAATTGAGGTTTAAAAAAAAATATTGTAGAAAAAAAAACAATATCAAAGAAATAAAAGGAATTTATGAATTGCTAAAAGTATGCATTTTTTCCTTTTTTTTCTGAAATAACAGTAAATAAAAAATTTGTAGCCAGAAGATCTTTTGCTGCTAATTGAAGCATTTTAGAATACTTTATTTCTGCCTGGCAAAACCGCTAAAGTTAGGGAAATAATATATGAGAAAGAATCGTTTGTTGGGTGTGGGATTTTGAGCACGTAGCTAGAAGTACAAGTACAAGTGGTACGCTTGCACGGCTCTATTGCTCTCTGAGTTGAGAAGTACTGTTGCGCAATTTTTCCTAAGTTAGCAAATTCAAGCATAAATTTGCACTGAATGTTTGAGATACCTGGAATTTCGTAGGAGATGTCAAAGCTGAAATAAGTTCAAGTTCAAAAAGCAAACGGCAGATGGTGTACCCGTTACTATATTTATCAGCGCTGTTAACTGAACTGTCTTCTATCATAACGAGTATTTAAATGAAATTTCGAATATGTACTAATATTTATTGCAAAAATATTATTAGGGTTGCTTTATAAATGTACTTTTTTTAATTTATCCCTACAAGACACATTTAAATATCTGAAAATGCATAATTTTCCATTTTGCATATATATACATAAATATAATGCAATCACAGATGTGGAAGCCGCTTACCAGAATTAAGTAGGTGTTTATTCGATATGACAAATACAACACTGCAGTTGTCAGGGTTGATATTTATGAAATTACCCAAGCTCTCATTTATCTTGTGCAGGTGAGCTGATTTTACAAGGCAATATGTGATAAATGTTTGTAATTCTACAAGTTTAAACTACGTTTTAATGATAAATAGCAAAAAAAAACTGGATAACAATTGTTACAAATTTAACTAGCTGTAGTTGGCATTACAAATCGAGCCTTGCAATAGTAATATTAGTGATACTTATGGTGTCATCTGTACTGACCTCAACCATTTGTAAAAATCACCTTATGCAAATTTTTTTTTATAAATTCCATAAACCGGTTTAATTAGTTTTTGGTGTGCTGGATGTTGTGCAAATATCTACATATATCTATATACCTGTAGAAATTTATTTATATATAAATTTTATATTTTCTCCCGCGTTGATATATGATATTCGGAAACTCTAAAATTTGCGTAAAAATATTACTCTTATAAATGGTTATTACACTAAGTTTACAAAATTAATTCTTCAGATTTTATCAACTTTGGGAGAAATACAATAATTAAAACTTCATAATAACTACGAATTTTCTCTTTCTATTTGGAAAGAGTAGCAAACTCTTATGTATTATTTTTATATATATTTTTTAATCTTTGTATTTTTTTAATTCTTTTCTAGAATTCTTAAATTTAAAAAAAATATATATATTTATTTTTTCTTAAATCTTGTAGTGTCACTCCCATTTGCCGGAAATTCCATAACACCTTGTAGGTACTAGCCAATTTAATACATGAAAATTTATGCGCTTATAAATGTACTAATTTAAACTCCTAGTCAAGTTCTGCTATTTAACATTGGAATTAAGCCAGCTTGTGCTATTAAGCGTGACGCCGGTTTGAATTTTTTGTTTTTTTGCAGCAAGCCAATGTACAATGGTCGATATTTAATGTGGTGCAAAAACAATGCAATACAAACATTTCTCTACATATTTTTTTAATTAAGTCATCGTACACATACATGTGCATACAAACCTACAAATACTCATAACATTAAGAATAAATTTATGAAAATAAAATAAAATAGAATAGAATAAAAGAAAAAAAAGAAAGAAAAGAAAATAAAATAAAATAAAATAAAATAAAATTAAACAGAATAAAATAAAATGAAAAAAATATATATTTTTTTGCGTGTGAGGAGGAAAAATGCCTCCCGCATCATCATTGTGACGTCACATCAAGAGCATGTGCCACAAAATACTCTATTCTCTCTCTCTGAGGAATAAAATTAAATTATATAAAAAGAACAAAATAATTAAAATAAAGTAAAATAAAAAAAAGTTTAATTTACATATATAAAGTTTCAAAGTAACTTTGTTGCCGCCAAACTGAGATTTCTTTTTATTGCAATAAATAAATAAAACAAAATAAAATAATTAAAATAAGGTAGAATTAAAAAATAATAATATAAAAATAATATGAAATAAAAAATAATATGAAATAAAAAATATAAAAAAATAAAATAAAATAAAATAAAATAAAATAAAATAAAATAAAATAAAATGAAAAAAAAAATATATTTTTTTGCGTGTGAGGAGAAAAAAATGCCTCCCGCATCATCATTGTGACGTCACATCAAGAGCATGTGCCACTTGCAGGCCATTAAAATACTCTATTCTCTCTCTGAGGAATAAAATTAAATTATATAAAAAGAACAAAATAATTAAAATAAAATAAAATAAAAAAAAGTTTAATTTACATATATAAAGTTTCAAAGTAACTTTGTTGCCGCCAAACTGAGATTTCTTTTTATTGCAATAAATAAATTTAANATGAAATGAAATGAAATAAAATAAAATGATATATATATCATATAACAGGTAGTTCCGTTGTGTTTTTTCTGAATAAATTAAAGACCTACCAAATTTTACACTCCCCCAAATATTTGTTAAGCTTCAATTACCTTATATCATTACCCAGGAAAACCCAGTGAAATTTTCATGGTTTAAATACTTTAGATCCACGTATTAAGTAGTTCTTTTGAAAAAGTTGACTCAATCTTAAATATTTGAAGCATTATTCAAACGAACTCAACCTATATATCAGACCTTGGACTTCACACAAGCATCGGCCGGTTATATAATTTTCCGTTCCTCCGGAACTTAGTCTTACCCACATATTTATTAATAGCTCTATGATCAGTACAACATTGCGTATACGTAATTAAATTATTTTTACTTGTAAGATTAAGTCCAATTTTTTTAATCACTTTAAGAGTTGTTATTTTAAAGAAATTCATTGCATTCTGTGAGTTTTTTTTAAGTGTATACAATAAAATAAACACCATTTTGCCGTCAGCAAAACATTGTTGCCATTTAGCGCAATAAATAAATTAAATATCAAATTTCATATATTTAGCTGAATTGATAACAAAAATGGTTTTCCAACGTGTAGTCTTTCCAGCATTGTCCCATTATGCTACTGTTGCGCATTCTTTTATCAGTGCGAGAATAAGTATGAGCTCTTTTTATACTATACTCATTAGCATGGCAAAGAACAAAAAAAAAACAATTTTTCGGCCCCTCTCACTAATTGGTGATTTGTGCAAAAATTAATTTTTCATCATTTTTAATAAAAAAAAAATTATGGGGATTTTACTGCAGACAGTCAGCTGTCTATTTTAAATCGAATGGCTGACTTGATTAAAAAAAAATTATAAAGAAAAAGTTGAAAAAGAAATCATAAATGGAGCTTAAAAAATTTCGACAATTTAAACGCTGTCGAAGATCTCACTATCGATAGTGGCATACCGTTTAAATAAACATACATACAAACATATGTCAAGGTGAAACTGATAAAGTTAAAGAGGGTTTATATATTTTTATTTTATTTTGTGTACTTATTTATACATATATTCATGCTGATATAAATTACACATACATAAATTACATACATATTATACATGTACATCTCCACTAACTGTATGTATGAATGCTTTTTTTCTTTTGCTTGTGCCAAGAAAAGCTTAAGCAGCATTACATGTAAATATCTTCTATGCTATTATTTGCTCTGAACGTGCTCTCAGCATACAACTAAGCTCACTCAGTTCCCTTCCACGTTGAAAAAGAGTAATGCAAGTTAGTAAATGCCTTATGTTGTGCCAAAGCACTGCAACGGCAACGAAGCAGCTAACGTGTTCACATCATAACTGCAGCACGCAGCAAGTGCGCTAACACCTCCGGGCTTGCTGTGCGCCACCGACTACTCGGCGCTGACACTGTGGCGCTCTGCGCTTGTTGTCTATTCATCAAACGGCGATATTGCATTTAAACGGCTGTCGATCGCGCGCTCTTCCCAATGTACTGGGACGTATGAGTTTTTGTTTTTATATTTTGTTTGTGGCGGCAGCAATGACGTCGCTGGCCACTAGTCAAACGCCACTGACAGCACCATCGTTTCAGTGGCTGAACGTTGACGACGACGTCGTAGCATTGTGAAGTTTTCGAAAATATTTCATTCAGTCACAAATTATGCTTCTTATTATAAACACGTTCAATTTACGATCAGCGCTTAATGTACCTATCGGCAGCAACGCGTTCAGCGTAGTAGCAGAGAAAAGGTTTCGTCTGCAAGTTAATTAAAAAAAAAAAACTCCTTTAACTGACAACAAAGTGTATTTTAATTAAAGATTTTTCGCTGTTAAGTTGTTTGCTTTAAATTTGTTAAGCACTTCTTTTCAAAGTTGTTTACGCCGATGTCTGTTTTTTTTTCCTTTTTCAACTTTAGAAAGTAAAGCTTAGAAATTTCAACAACATTTCTCTTCGATTTCAAAACAAGTTTTTTTTGCAAGGCACTTACACCGTTTGCATTCAAATTACTTGCAACTAAAAAGAAGTTAAAAGATAGAAAAAAATCTTGTGAAAATGTGACTGGTTGCTGCAATAGAAAAAAGCAAAAATTTATTGTAAAAGTAGTGAAAACGATACAGCAAGTGATAAAATTAAAAAAAAAATTTAAATAGTTTAAAAAAAAACTAATATCAGTTAAAAATAACAGCAAATACAATTTGTTTGTATGTATATCTGAATTGCAAGGCAAAAAATACATAAATAGAAATAAAAAATAAAAAGGTGTACTAATTTTAAAGAAAAAAAATCTGTACATTTCGTTTTGATAAAAATTAAACCGCACAATAAATTTTACTGTAATATAACTGTGGTCATCAAAATGAGTTGTAATCAAATTGAGGCTTTGCCAAAAATAGCCACCAAATTTGATATGCCGCCGGCGAGTAAGCCGTCTTCGCATAAATTAAATGCCAAAGCTTTAAAGCTATCGAAAATCGCTAAATATATTAAGAAGAAGGTAATTATTGAGCAAAACAACTAACTAATTGTACAGCCAAAGCAAAACAGAACCATGACAATAAATTAAGTGATTTAAGGTACATTTCATTATAATTTCAGAAATATATAAATTAATATTAAACGAACTGAAGTTCAAGGAAAATAGAATTAGATAAAAATAAAAATTAAATTATAAAAAAAGAGAACCAAATAAATAAAACGATATTTAATTGGAAATGATAAGAATGAAGAAATATAATATACAAATAATTTACAGTAAAGAAAAAAATTAAAATAAATTGTAGAAAAAATTGTTAAAAAATAATAATAATAAATATAATAATTTATAAATAATAAGATTGAAATAAGACGAAATAAATTTAAATTAATTGAAATAAAATAAACTAATTAAATTATATAAATTTTTATGAAATAAAAAATAAATGAAATATAAATAATAATAAACGAATATATATAATGCAATAAATGAATTAAAATTAAAAAAAAAAAAAATGCAATGAAATGAAATTTGTTTAAATTAAATTAAACGAAAATAAGCAAAAGAAATATAAAATAAAACAACTACAATAAACCCAAAGAAAATAAAATAAAATAAATAAATAAAAACAAAATTAAATTAATCAACAAAAATAAAATTTAAATTAAATTAACTTACAACAAATTTAATTAATATAAAATGAAAAACAAAAGAATAAAATAAAGTTAATTGAAAAGAAATAAAGTGAATTAAAATTTAGTAAAATAAAGCAAGTAAAATAAATCAAAAACTAAATAAATAAATTAAATATCTTATATATGAGTTAAAAAAGTTAAAGAGAAAAATGAAAAAAAAAAACAAAAAATAAAAAAAATATAAAATAAAAAAATTGAAATAAAATACAGGGTTTTCCATTTAGAGTTGTTATTTTGAGATTAAAAAAAAGATTTTTTTAGATAAATGATCGGATGATTATTTCAGTGTAGAGAAGAGAATGTATCATTAATAATGGGAAATAATATCAGACCAAATCGCAGAGTGGCTGCTGTATGCCCTAAATATAAATAGCTTTCACCTTCATCTTTGAGGTCTGGAATCGACGTTAGCCTGTTGGCGCAAACCTTATCTTTCACGTCACCCCAAATAATGAAGTCGCAAGGTCTCAATGTTCAATTTCGATCACCTCTTCGAAAGATAATACGGTTCTGACACTTTTTCCTCAAAAAAGATCGATGGTTTTGTTGCTTGTGTGGCACGTAGCGTCGTGCTCTTAAAAGTAAACTTTGTCTAGATCAATACCGTCCAATTCCAGCCGTAAAAAATCACCAATTATTTGCCTAGCCCCAGTTTCGACAGTTTATGCAAAAAGGAATTCCCAATTCCAAAGAACTACGAGTAATAGATAAACCCTTCAACACTTTGGGCTACAGCAGCAATATTCTCAGTTGTTCTAGAGTGACGTGCATGTGTTTTGTTCTTCACATCACTAACTTGCCCCAACAGCTACATTTCTTCCACCAATTTCTGTATTGTGGTCCGAAAAAAGTTTTAGTTTTGCGCACTGTCTCTGCCAGGTTTCCACCATTTTTGTAGTGAATTTTAATAATTTCAATACTTTGTTGAAGCGTGCTTCGTTCCATTTTTATTACTGGCGTCGTTTTTACTTGTCAAATGTCAAACATTTTCAGCTTCAAGAGTAAGATCTACAGGGAAATTAACAGCTCTATTGGAAAGCACTTTGGAATAAAATGCTATAAAAACTAAAATTGAATTTGCTTGCCATAATGATTGAGAAATTAGCTTCAGCTTCAGACACAAGCCTTATTAGATGAATTTAAAATATGATTTCTTCTAATATACCAATGTGTATATATGGAGATGGATTTTCTAGTTTTTTCTTTTACTTACACTTAATTTAATCGCCTCTAATAGAAGAGTTGTTGGAAAAACATCGAGATGCAAAACTACAAATAGGAGTAGAAGCTCGGCCGAAAATAGCAAATCGTTTCAGCGGTTTTATATATATATGTATAAAATATATAGATATATAGAAAAGTGAAGTAAATGGAAATTTAATTAATATTATGATTTATTTAACAATTAAATGGTTTTATAGTAATATAATAAATAGTTTTTAACATGCAAATTATGCATGCAAAATTTATAAATAAACAATTATTAAAAACCATTAAAAACGAACGACCTCTCTCAGAGATGTATGTAAACATTTGCAATTACATACATACGAGTACATACTATGTGTCTGACGAGAATGTTCCAAAGCAAAATCGTTTTCTTGAATTTGTGTGTTTTGCTTAAAGCATACACACACAGCAACCTAGGCATTTTTAAGTTTTTAAATTTTGTTTTGTTTCTAATTTTTCTTTTCGTTTTCGTATTCACATACATATGTTTGTATTTGCATATGAAATCTGCTTTGTAACGAAAATTCTATATATATTTGAAAAGTTCTTTTAGGCCAAAAAGTTTAAGTTTTTTTCTTACTTTTCGCCATGTGTTTTTCGATTATATTTTTGACGTTTTTCTCTTTTCTGTTTATTTATTTTTTTTTTATTTAAAAGAATTAACTTTTATGGTCTTTCAGTTTTCTGCTCTTCGCTCTATAAATTCTTTCATCTATTTATCTTCCTCTTGTCATTTTATGTCGGTGTTGAGTCTATTTTCTGCAACGTTGACGTGTAGCCGTAGGTTATTAGAAGAGAATTTCGTACCTTAAATGAAAAAAATTTAAATAGTTTTAAAAAAAAAAAAATTAATGAAAAAAGCCAAATAAATAGTTATTGAATTTTCGGAAATAAATTTCATTAAATTTCTAATTAAAACTCGTATTGTAGTATCAAAGCAAAGTGAATTATGAAAGCAAAGTGAAAGTTTATCTGCAAGTCCAAAAATCGTATTGAGCTTTTTCGTTGAATAAATACTCGCCATTATATAAATTATATATACATACATATGTGTTTGGTTTTTGGTTATCATGTTTACCCATAAAAATAATTTAATTTAAATATATGCGTAAAAACAAAAAAAATAATACATACAAACACAATGAATTATTTCTAGTTATTGCAAATTAAATTAACATTTATAGATATTAATATAAATATGTAACATACATATAAAAAAAGAAATACTTCTATGTATGACAATTAACCTTAACGGTGTGTTTATTGCAACAACAATAACAACAACAATAATAACAACAACAACAACAACAACAACAACAACAAAAATGGCACATAACAAAAATGTAATTGTTTTATTTATGCTATATTGATTTTGACTTTATTTTTGCTTGACATACTGACATATTTATTTGTTTCATTTAAATGCAATGAATGCGCTAAAAAGGTATTGAATATTGTAAACAAGCGTTGAGAAAGCGATTTTTTTTGTTTTTAATAAATATATACAATATCGTTATAAACAAGTACACATATGTGTATCTCAGTAATGTTTCCCTATTCTTCTTTAATATTTTGTTTAAGTTCTCTTACTAATTTAAGTTACAAAAACTTCGTCTTCTTTGGATTTTTTTCTTAAATAATCTACATTGTGGTGAGTCTGTTACAGTCATCTTGCGATTGACCTTTTTAGTGTTGTTGTAAAATTACAACAGTAGTACTCCGCAAAAATTTTCGTACCATATGTTCCATTAGACTGATCCAATAGGTACTCCTCTGTAGTCAATTATAGGATTAACACACGTCTCGCAACCACCCTTTTATTAGCCGATGATTGATCGTGTTTTAACGATCGCAGTGACTAAACGATGATGCATGTGTACCATAAGATTTTTACTCGTTTATGGAAAATAAGCTGAAATTGAGCAAGTTTCATTTCTTTGTTAACCTATTTCATAGAGAATCTGCATAGATTTTCAGCACATACATACATATATTATATATTCCAATGCACAAATGCGCAAAATTAAATATTTTATATACATATTTATTGGCAACAAAATATTAATTTAAATATATATGAATAATATTATGTTAGTATGCATGCGATTTGTATTCGAAACTAGAAATTATGTCCGCATGTCATATTCCGTATATACTTCATTATGTAAACCACTGTGGGCACTCCATAGAGTAATTAATCTCATGTATGTACTCCATGGATTAGTCGGATGTTATGCGATGATGGAATATATGGTCCAGCCCTAGGACATTGCAATGTTGATTGGACCATATTTTTTGTATGGATTGTGATTAGTTTTGGATTACATCATCGGCCGCGTGGTGTATATATTCCACGCTTGTATTGAGTAATTGCGTTGTTTGCTGAAGGCTCTTAAGAGAAAAAGAAAACAAATTTTGCGTAGAAATAAAATTTCCGTTTTTTTTCTTTATATTTTTGCACCTAATTTTTCGAAGGCTAGTGAATTTTTGAGAGAACAGTTTTATGAGTTATCGTTGTTCTGGAGCATCAACTTTTTCTGTTGGGATTTGTTCTGAAAGACTGACTGATCGACCCACAGCCTAAGCAACAAATCACAGAGACCTAGAATTTGGTGAATTAATTTTGGTTTTGACGTTTATGCGAAGATAAGAAAGGATTTTCCGGAAA